CAAAAAAATATTGGGTATGCAGCAGAGGGCTAATTAGGAGAGACATCGGTTTTCATTGATCCCAATGTCTCTCCCAACCAGGCCTATACATCGGAGACTGCTTCTGACATTACCACACTAGTCTAAGATATAGTGCCCATATTTTTAACATGAAAAAAAGAGAGGAAGGCGCCTTCCACCTGAACCGACCCTTGCTTGTTAATCAACCAAATGACCAAAAAGCGCATCTGTTAGGGATCCGGGTATGACCAGAAATGTGTGGACTGACATAGAAACGCAGACTTCAGGTATAGTGTGAATAAGACAATTGATTAAGACTAAACAAAACAGACGCAGTGCAAGACTAAACAACACAGTGCAAACAAACCAACCCAAACCTCCAACAGATAACAATAGAAACAGTACTAAGCGTAGTCGGGCAGGCCGGGTCGGTAGCAAACGGGCAGGCAGGGCACAAGGAGCAGGCGGAAGAGTAGTCAGGAATAGCCGAGGTCAGGACAGGCGGAGTTCATGCAGAGTCAGGGATCAAAGCAGAATCTGGATCAGGCAGAAAGCAGACAGGATGCAGGTACAGGGACCCATTAGAAACATACACCAAGGCCCTGATCACAGGCCTGGCCATTCCTTAAATACACCTGTTGTAATCAGCTTCAGGTGATGGCTCATTGCAGGAGTGAGCCTCTGGTTGCTGAGAGCACCCGCTGGCCAGCCCTGGTACTGCAGCCCACAAGGCAGGTGAGCCCTGTGGTGAGTCATTCCTGACAGCATGTGGAGAGGCTGTGTTGGACTGTGCTCTGCTGAGCTCCAGGTAGGCCCGAGAAGCCTGGGGCTAAAGTGCCCTGCCCAGCCCAGGGAGGATGGCAGATCCTGGGCTTGGGTCCAGCGTTGATATGCCTCTGGAGGAGCCTAGTACCGGTCCCGATTTTCCAGCCATAGAGGACCTGGGAACAGCCTCAAGGAAGGGGGAAGATGGAAGCACGTACCGCAACCGGGTGGTAACCCGTATCAGCATGATAGAGAAGGAGGAAAAAAAGTTGGAGAAATTGAGTCTGGAGCTTAAAAAGTTCCGTCAGTCATATGACAGAGTCTGGAGCACAAAACGCCAGTTGATGAAGCCAGGCCTGGAGGCATTGGAAAAGCGGGTGGCCCTCCAAAGCAAGTATGTGGCAGCCTTGAAAAAGAAGAGTGGAGTACTAAGGGAGAAGTATCAGAACGAGACCCGCTTTAAGGCTGCAAGGAGCAGAAGAGTGGCTGCTGTAAGGGGCCCAGTGGAGATTGTCTCCTCCATGGAGGAGCTGTCGGAGACGCCATTGACCGATGGGGAGCAGAAGCAGGTGCCAGAGCACGCTGCATCTACCCTGCAGAGTGAAGTTCCTAATAAGGGAAACGCCAAGGCCGGTGAGGACACGGGAGATTCTGGTTCCCTCCCCCCCCGGGCAGCAGCAGCCAGCCGATTGGGGCTCACAGATGGAGGAGGCGGAGGCTGTAGGAGAGCTCTGCTTTGCGATGGAGACAGGGCTGGAATATCGGGCGGACAACTTCCAGTTCACGTTGGCCGAGTCAGAGGAGGAGGAAGCGGAAGTGACGTCATGGAAGCCGTCAAGACCTGTTCTGCGGGAGCGGGCCGTGTTTGTGAAACTGCAATGGATGCCTAGCTCTGTGGAAGGTGAATTGCTGGCGAAAGCGGGGGAACCGCTGGCGGAGGACGTACTGCAGGACTCCAGGGGACTGGGAGTGATTTTTGAATTGCGAATTTCGAGTCCATTCCGGAAGGCGGGAGTGGAATAGCAGAAGCACCTCGCTTTTTGAAAAGTTAATACGGAGTCCGGAGTATAAGCGGAAGGAGAAGATATGTTGAATATAGGGCAAGTCGAGGGAGGGGCTTGAAGTTAAAATTAAAATATCGTCCGCAAACAGCGCAAGTCTCAACTCTTCTTGTCCAACATAGATGCCATGTAGATCAGATTTTGACAATAAGAAGCAAGCTAGTGGTTCTAGAGCTAGATTGAAAAGTAGCGGGGACATTGGGCACCCCTGTCTTGTGCCTTTATGAAGACAAATAGGGTTAGACATGTGTCCTGCTGCTACAACTCGGGCTGTGGGAGATGAGTACATGGTGTGAATCAAATGCATAAACGAGCCTTCAAATCCAAACTTTCCGAGCGCTAAAAAAAGCCATTAAAAACTAACATTATCAAAAGCCTTTTCGGCATCTAATGAAACTATTGCCGCGTCTAGCTGTGTGCCGGTCGTGGCTTGATTCAAGCCATGGGCCACTCATATAATCAGTGCCCGGAGGCCCTCCGAAATTTGCCGGTGGATGAGCCTGCGGCAGAATTAGACCGTATGGATGCTGAGGAAGCTGAATTGGTGGCAGAGAGGGCCAGCTTGGCCTCTGCAGCAGCTTCTGGAGGCAGGGAGGATGGGTCTGAGGTGTCCTCAGTTGTAGTTGCCCCGGTTGAGTCAGATACGGTAGTGGCTCCTGTAGTTCCTTCTGTGGTACCGGTTCTTGCCCCTAAGGGAGGGAGGAAGTTGGCAGAGGCTGCCAAATGGGCAGGAGTGTGGAGGTAAAATCTGGGCCTGTCGTACTGGCTCCCCCGGTCCTTCTTCCTCGTAGGCGGAGGCGTAGGTCAGGGGGGGCTCCCCAGGAGGACCAGGGTCCTGTTCAGAGTGGGCAGGATAAGGCCCAGGAGGACAGTGAGTGGTCAGTGGTGAGGAGGCGAAATAGGCCTGCCCTCTCCACTGCAGGGTCGGCCTCCTCTCTAGGTGGAGGACCTGGCCCTGGGTAATAAGTTTGCGGCTGTCGGGGGAGAAGGGGGAGGTCTCGAGTGACCCCGCTTCTCTGATGGAGGAAGGGGAGGTAGGTGGGTGCTGTGGAGGGAGTGAGGGATCCTGCCGAGAGGTCCAAGAGGAAGGTTAAAAAACGCCTTTCTCAGCCTCAGACTCCTTGATGGCAGTTCCCGCTCCGCTAAAGGTGGCAACTATTAACGTTCCAGCCTAAGATCTGTAAGTGCAAGAGAGACAGTCCTATTTTTGATCAGTGAGATGGATGCTGATATTTTCTTTTTGCAAGAGACCAGGCTGCCCACCTTGGCTGATATCCATCTGGCCAAGAGGGAGTGGAGGCGTGGGCCATCCTACTGGTCTCTTGCGGCTGAGCCTTACAGCGGAGTCGCGGTCCTTTTTTTCCGAGATGGTAACGTGCCGGCGGGCTTTTGAGGTTGAGATTGGTAGATGTTTGGTCCTGGATGTCCTTGTGAGGGGGCAGGAGCTGCGCCTGATTAACATCTATGGGCCGCAGTCCAAGTGGGATAGGAAGTGCCTTTTCACAAGGATCAAACCTTTTTCTTTTTACATCCCGACAGGTGGTCTTTGGAGGTGACTTCAACACCATAACTATGCCCAAGGACAGGAGGGGCTTCACTGACCACCTGGGGTATGATAGCGTTTTTCTTGATTCTATAGTCAGGGAAGCAGGTCTGGTAGATGCTTTGATTAAAAGCAATCCGGACAGCACTGGGTACACGTATAGGAGAGGTAGCAGCCAGAGTAGAATAGATAGGTTTTTTTTTTTTTTTTTTTTTGAAGGATGATTCTGCCTTCTTAGCACCTGAGTGTCGGGCGGTGGAGTTCTCTGATCACTTTATGCTTACTGTGGTTTTGAATGTTTCAGACACGCCCCAGAGAGGAAGGGGCATCTGGAGGCTGAATTCGTCTCTGCTGGAGGACGAGGAGGTGAGACAATCTTTCGAGGTGTTCTTTCAGGCTCAGGAGACGGTGCTGGATTCTGCAACAGTAAGTTGGAGTGGTGGGAGCTTACTAAGGTGCGGATCAGCAGGTTTTTCAAGGCCATAGGTAAGAAAAAGCAGCGTGATAAATATATCGCCTACCAACGGTTACGGAGGAAGCTCGATCGTCTTGTTTCTAGCGGTGGAGATTTTGGGGCAATCTCCGAGGTCAAACTTCTCCTCAGTAAATACCAGTACGATTGGCGTGCCTCTTTGTTCTGGAAAGGGATTATGGGAAGTACCACTCGCCCGACCCTTTTCAGAATTACAAACGGGGTGCAGCGATTAGGACGGTCTCTGCCTTGAGGGATAGTACGGGGTCCCTGACAAGATTCAGGTCAGGGATTCTGGAGGTCTCTAGGGATTTTTACAAGGACTTACTGAGTGAGAAGTGCCTTAACCGGGCAAGGATGTTGAGCTTCTTGGAATCTACACCAGGTTTGGAGAGTAATGTTCTGCCTACAAGTTTGACAGGAGAAATTACCGCAGAGGAGGTGACTAAGGCCATTGATAGTCTGACCATTAAGAAAACTCCTGGGCTAGACGGGTTTAATTTTTTAAGACCTTCAAATCTAGCCTGGCACCTCGCCTAGCGGAGGTGTATAATTGCTGTATGAGTGAGGGGTCCCTCCCTCCATGAGGCAGTCTGCAGTGATTTTTCTGGCAAAGGGTAAGGATCCTTTGGTTATTGAGAACTGGCGCCCCATTAGCCTTCTCAATGTCAATAGGTTCTGGCTAAGATCTTGTTCTGGCGCTTGTTGTCTGCTTTCTCGTCAGCAGCATTGCTCGGTCCAGGGCAGGAGTACCTTTACAGCAGTGTTAGCTGTCCGGGAGGCTCTGGAGCGTTGTAAGGCTGAAGGATGGGGAAAGTTCTTGCTGGCAGTGAATTGGGCAAAAGGCCTTTGATCGTGTCAACCATGAGTACCTCTGGTGTCTCCTTGACTGGTACGGCTTGGAAGGTAGGTTTATTGGCTGGTTAAAAACATTGTATAGGAGGCCGAGAGCTTCATGTTGGTGAATGGCTGGGTTGGGCAGCCTTTTGGGGTTGGATCCGGGGTGCGCCAGGGGTGCCCTCTGAGCCCCTTGCTCTACGTCTTTGCCATTGACCCCTTCGTCAGGAGGCTAGATGGTGGACCGTTGGGCGGGGTGCTGGGGGGTGCTGCTGGGAGTCCGTCCCTGAAGGTTGTAGCTTATGCTAATGACGTTTATGTTTTCATCTCTGGGTCTGAGGAGGCGCAGGAGGTGGTCTCAGTGATGGAACAGTATGCCGAGGCGTCTGGCTCCAAGGTCAACCAGGACAAATGTGAAGTTCTCTGGATGGGTAGAGAGGGTGAGAGTTTCTCGCTCCCAGACACCTTCCCGGTGCCCCAGCCAAGCATAAAAAAAATTTTGGGCATCAATTTTGGCCATGCCGATTATGGCAAGCTAAACTGGGAAGCCAAGTTGTCTGATGCAGAGGTCAAGGTCAGATGCTGGAAGGGGTGGCGGCTCTCCTTAAGGGAAAGGGTTGATCTGATCAAGACTTTCCTGATTCCGGTATTTCTGTATGTCAGTTACATCTGTCTCTTGCCAGAATCACTCTATACGAGGGTTTACAACTGTTTCTTCCAGATGTTATGGGGAAATAGGCTAAACCTTGTTAAGCGGAACCTAACTTATTCATCCAGGGGGGAGGGTGGCCTAGGTATGGTCAACCCAGTAGTTTTTTTTTTTTTTTTTTTCTCGCTGATGTTCTTGAAACATAACTTTGGTAGCATGTTGGCAGAGAGAACGTCTGTATGGGTAGGACTTTCTCGTGCCTGGTTTGGACCCTTTCTGAACAGTTGGGAGAGTGGCGGGCCAGTGAGAAGCCTGCGGGTCAAGCACGGTAAGCTCCCGGCTTACATGGCAACATGCTTGAAGTTACTCCGGCGGTGGCATGTGATGGCGGAGGAGGTCAGGTCCCTCCCTAGGAAACTCCTGAGTGAGAGGATTGTGGCTACCGCTTTCCATGTGCCATTGGCCCTGAAAGATTACCCAGGCCATATCATGAGGGAGGGTTTGCGTTTATTAAATCTGGAGCGGATCCCCCTGAAGTTGAGGGACCAGGCCTGGCTCGGCTTCCATGGCAGGCTTTACGTAAGGGGCAACCTGAAGTGCCGCTTTCTGGATGACCGTGGTTGTCCGAGGGTGGAGTGTGGGGGTGAAGTGGAGAGTATGGACCACTTCTTGCTGCAGTGCCCCTTTTAACGTTGAAGTGTACAAAGAGGTGGGTGGGGCTTTGGGTGTCTCTTTCCTCCACTGCATGTCTTATACGGAGTGGGTGTATGGAGCATTTGAAAGCCGCTCGGGTTTTGATTTAGACACCTTGTTTCTAGTTAGTTTAGTGGTCCGTTATTACACGTGGAATGCACGGTGTCAGGTTTCCATTCGGAAAAAAGTCCTCCCTGTCCAGGTGGTGGTGTGTGGCATTCTTGGTGAGGTTGGGAAAATTCGGGGTCTTGAGAGACCGGTGGCGGCGAAAGGCTTGGTTGGAGGCGTGGAGGAACATCAGGCCTGTAGCTGCTGCCTGCTGATCTCCGGTGGTGGTAGCTATCCCTGTTTCTTCTCTTTGCACCCCCTTAGGTTTTTTGTAGTTGTGGATTTGTTTTTTGAAGAAAGGTTGCAGGTACTGAGGGTCTGTGTTTTTTTTAGTCTTCCTCTTGGAGTTTTGTATTCTCTATCTTGGTGGGTTCTTGGTTGAGTCTTGGATTTAGGCCGTAAATGCCTTTTGCAGCAGGAGGTTGGAAATTGTATTTGATCCTTTTGGGTTTGGCCATATAGGCCATAGACGCCTTGTGTATGCGTGGGTGGGGGCGCTGGGCCTGTTGTTCCCTTCATGACTATGTAGGCCTGGAGGCATATGTTCTTTCTTTGCAGGTTATGGACCCTTATTATTGGGCCATTAAAGCCATGTGTTGTGGTAATTATGCTTGTTTTTCCCCAGGAAATTCTGGACTTTCTGTCACGTATAGTGATTATATTTGTGTAGGGCCATAAATGCCTTGTGGATACATGTTGGGGGCATTGGGCCTGTTGTCCTGCTTTGTGGGGCGTCGGGCTTGTTGTTTTCTCCATGTCCGTATAGGTCTGGTTGCATATGTCCTTTTTTTTTCTTTGCAGGTTATGGACTCTTATGTATGGACTCTTATGTAATGGGCCATAGGTCATATGCCATATTCTATGTTTTTCTTTCCCCAGGAAGTTCTGGGTATTCAGTCATGCATGGTGGCTAAATTGTTTGGCCATAAATGCCTTGTAGATACATGTTGGGGGTATTGGGCCTGTTGTGTCCTGCTCAGTGGGGTGTCGGGCCTGTTGTCTCCTCCATGACTATATAGGTCTGGATGTATATGCCTTCTTTGCAAGGTTATGGACTCTTATGTTTGGGCCATTTAAAGCCATATGGTTTGCTGTTTCTTTCCCCAGGAAATTCTGGACTTTCAGTTATGCGTAGTGATTATGTTTGTACTTATTTATTTGCAATTTTTTTGTACTTTTGTAAAAAAAAGAGTTTAAGTTGGGTGGTTTTGTAAGCTTACATTACAAAATAAAATATTTCCCACCACCACTGGCAAGTCCATTCCTGACAGTACCCCCCCCCTCAAGGAGCGGCCTCAGGATGCTCCAAACAGTCCGTAATGGCCCAAATGTTCCGCTTGGGTCCGGCAACTGGCTGGACATCCCACTGACTGGGTCTCCTGCTGATAGGCCTATCTTTTTGTAGGAGACTGCAGGAAGGCAGATTGCTGGACACAGGATTTTCAGAAGCAGGCTGGGCATCAGGAGCTGGTACGTCAGGCTGGGCAGCAGGCAGAGGCACGTCAGGCTGGGCAGCAGGCAGAGGCACGTCAGGCTGGGCAGCAGGCAGAGGCACGTCAGGCTGGGCAGCAGGCAGAGGCACGTCAGGCTGGGCAGCAGGCAGAGGCACGTCAGGCTGGGCAGCAGGCAGAGGCACGTCAGGCTGGGCAGCAGGCAGAGGCACGTCAGGCTGGGCAGCAGCGGGCACCGGGCCAGCAGGCGGAGCAGCAGGTAAGGCAGCGGGTACCGGGCCATCAGGCAGAGCAGCAGGCACCGGGCCATCAGGCGGAGCAGCGGGTACCGGGTCATCAGGCGGAGCAGCAGGCAAGGCAGCGGGTACTGGGCAATCTGGCAGAGCAGCGGGCACCGGGTCGTCTGGCAGAGCAGCGGGCACCGGGTCGTCTGGCAGAGCAGCGGGCACCGGGTCGTCTGGCAGAGCAGCGGGCACCGGGTCGTCTGGCGGAGCAGCGGGCACCGGGTCGTCTGGCGGAGCAGCGGGCACCGGGTCTTCTGGCAGAGCAGCGGGCACCGGGCCATCAGGCGGAGCAGTGGGCAAGGCAGCGGGCACCGGGCCATCAGGCTGAGCAGCAGGCAAGGCAGCGGGCACCGGGTCGTCTGGCGGAGCAGCGGGCACCGGGTCTTCTGGCAGAGCAGCGGGCACCGGGCCATCAGGCGGAGCAGTGGGCAAGGCAGCGGGCACCGGGCCATCAGGCTGAGCAGCAGGCAAGGCAGCGGGCACCGGGTCGTCTGGCGGAGCAGCGGGCACCGGGTCGTCTGGCGGAGCAGCGGGCACCCGGGTCGTCTGGCAGAGCAGCGGGCACCGGGTCGTCTGGCGGAGCAGCGGGCACCGGGTCGTCTGGCGGAGCAGCGGGCACCGGGTCGTCTGGCGGAGCAGCGGGCACCGGGTCTTCTGGCAGAGCAGCGGGCACCGGGCCATCAGGCGGAGCAGCGGGCAAGGCAGCGGGCACCGGGCCATCAGGCTGAGCAGCAGGCAAGGCAGCGGGCACCGGGTCGTCTGGCGGAGCAGCGGGCACCGGGTCGTCTGGCGGAGCAGCGGGCACCGGGCCGTCTGGCGGAGCAGCGGGCACCGGGTCGTCTGGCGGAGCAGCGGGCACCGGGTCGTCTGGCAGAGCAGCGGGCACCGGGTCGTCTGGCAGAGCAGCGGGCACCGGGTCGTCTGGCAGAGCAGCGGGCACCGGGCCATCAGGCGGAGCAGCGGGCAAGGCAGTGGGCACCGGGCCATCAGGCAGAGCAGCGGGCACCGGGCCATCAGGCTGAGCAGCAGGCAAGGCAGCGGGCACCGGGCCATCAGGCGGGGCAGCGGGCACCGGGCCATCAGGCTGAGCAGCAGGCAAGGCAGCGGGCACCGGGCCATCTGGCGGAGCAGCGGACACCGGGCCGTCTGGCGGAGCAGCGGGCACCGGGCCGTCTGGCGGAGCAGCGGGCACCGGGCCGTCTGGCGGAGCAGCGGGCACCGGCCGCCGGCGGAGCAGCGGGCACCGGGCCGTCTGGCGGAGCAGCGGGCACCGGGCCGTCTGGCGGAGCAGCGGGCACCGGGTCGTCTGGCGGAGCAGCGGGCACCGGGTCGTCTGGCGGAGCAGCGGGCACCGGGTCGTCTGGCAGAGCAGCGGGCACCGGGCCATCAGGCGGAGCAGCGGGCAAGGCAGCGGGCACCGGGCCATCAGGCAGAGCAGCGGGCACCGGGCCATCAGGCTGAGCAGCAGGCAAGGCAGCGGGCACCGGGCCATCAGGCGGGGCACCGGGCCATCAGGCGGGGCAGCGGGCACCGGGCCATCAGGCTGAGCAGCAGGCAAGGCAGCGGGCACCGGGCCATCAGGCGGGGCAGCGGGCACCGGGCCATCAGGCTGAGCAGCAGGCAAGGCAGCGGGCACCGGGCCATCAGGCGGGGCAGCGGGCACCGGGCCATCAGGCTGAGCAGCAGACAAGGCAGCGGGCACCGGGCCATCAGGCAGAGCACCGGGCCATCAGGCGGAGCAGCGGGCACCGGGCCATCAGGCGGAGCAGGAGGCAAGGCAGCGGGTACTGGGCCATCAGGCGGAGCAGCGGGCACCGGGCCATCAGGTGGAGCAGCGGGCAAGGCACCGGCCCCCGGGCCATCAGGCGGAGCACCGGCCCCCGGGCCATCAGGCGGAGCAGTGGGCACCGGGCCACCAAGCTTGACAGCGGGCACCGAGTCATCTGGTACGGCAGCAGGCACCGAGCCATCTGGCACGACAGCGGGCACTGAGCCATCTAGCAGAACCACGGGCACTGGGTCACCAAGCTCGACAGCAGGCACCGAGTCATCTGGCAGAACCGCAGGCACGGGGTCACCAAGCTATCACCAAGGTCATCTGGCACGGCAGCGGGCGCCGGGTCATCTGGCACGGCAGCGGGCGCCGGGTCATCTGGCACGGCAGCGGGCGCCGGGTCATCTGGCATCGGGTCGTCTGGCTCGACAGCGGGCGCCGGGTCATCTGGCTCGACAGCAGGCGCCGGGTCATCTGGCATCGGGTCGTCTGGCTCGACAGCGGGCGCCGGGTCATCTGGCATCGGGTCGTCTGGCTCGACAGCGGGCGCCGGGTCATCTGGCATAATAGGACCATCAGGCTGGGTAGACACATCAAGCTGGGTAGGGTACACTGGGTCATCGGGCATCAGGGTATCAGGCTGAACCATGAAAGGCGGGTTCTCAGACGGCAGGCTGACCGGTTTGGATACTGGCAGGATGGTATTGGTTGGAAAGAATTTTCGCTTTTTCCTGGTTTTAGTTACTGGAGCACAGGAAGAAAGCGCAGGTTTGTAAGTGGATAGAGCAGCTGTAGGCAGAGAAGAGCTGAGGGATGGAACAAAGGAGGGAGCAGTTGCTACAGAGGACTTCTTTACAGGGTTAAAGATAGGATAGGTGCAGCGAGTGGGAGCAGGGGACTGATATGTGGTAGTTAGCAGAGTATATTTGGCCATCACTGGGGGTGCTGTCAGGGATGCAGGAAGAGTGCCTTGAGCAGAGGAATGATGTTGCAAGCTGACTGAGGCTGGGTGCAACAAGTCTGACCATGTCTGCAGTATGGGTTGAACAAAGCTCAGCTTACACAAAGCCTGTCTGGTCAAAGACTGCACTGCGTTTATACAATCTCTTAGCACCTGTTGTGAACATGCAGAATAACGCTCCAAGAAGTAATCCACATCATCCTCCAATAACCACACCAGGGACTCTACCTGGTCGGCAC